TCCCCATCTGTAGTGACACTTAACTCTCATTGATTGAGTCACAGTATCTCACATCCTGATATGTGATTTCTCTTTATCCTTTCAAACAGTGTCAATATTGTAATAGAAAATATTTGCTTAAACATGTATTCTTATATAAGTTTGTAACTTTTTAATCCTCTGATCTTAAATGGAGATTTAACAGTACAACCCCAAATTATCCATGGTAATTTAATAAGTTACATTTATTCATAGGGAACCGTTGATTAGAGGGGAAAGGGAAACCAAAAACCTGGACTTTCTCACACTGAGAATAAGCTTACCAGTGATTGGAAAGGATTTTAAACAAAGTGTTTGAAACCTATTAAGATTCTTCTTTCAATAATGAGATTCCCAATTTCTGCCACTGGGCCTGTTCAATTTAAATGTGGCCAATCCCTTCATTGTTGGAATAACATCTTATTTGCTCAGCCATGTGGTGAATATCAAAGGCAATGGCTTAGAAAAGCTGTTTTTAATAGACCTAATATACAACGATGTCGTTCTGATCCAGGCCATGGTCTTCGCAATTACGTGAGATGCATCAGAAGGTTGGACAATGACTGGGAATGGTCTGTCTCTCTCTCTGGACCAAGGAATCCCGCCTAGGAGCTCCCTTAATAAAGTTTCTTTAGCTTGCTTTCTTTCTCTGGTCCCTTCCTTGACTTCTTGACATTACGTCCAGTGCAAAGACCTAACAAATATAACATAAACTGCTAGGAGAACAAACAGGTTCAACCTGGAGAGGGTGAAACTGGGCTGCTCCTTGGAGGTAAGGATTCTGAAGCTCTGTCTGACATACTTTGGGCATGTTGCAAGGAAGGACCAGTCCTTGGAAAGAGACGTCTTGATTGGGAGAGAGGAGGGACGGTGCGAGAGAGGAACCCCTGGATGAGATGGATTGATGTAGTGACTGGAGTAACGGGGATAGGTGCGTCAGAGATGATTACGTTAGCTCAGGAGAGGGCAGGGTTCAGACTGTTGTATATAGGGTTGCTACAGAACACATTTAGATAACAGAAATGGCAAAGGAGGTTGAGTTTTCAAGTATGGAAATACAAAGGAAGGGGAACAGTTGTAAGCAGACACTGGTGATTGGGACATGGAATGTGAGAACCATGAATGTAGGAAAATTAGATATTGTTGAGGAATAAATGGAACGCATGAA